GAAGTTGAAGACATTCTCTTGGACATTGCTGAGGACTTTGTTGATTTTGTAAGTTGGAAAATTCAAATGCTATTCATCTGTCCGACAAATATAATGATTCATTTTTTACTTAATTTCTGCATACTCAGCTATCTAGGTTGGCTTGGCCAGAGCTCGGCTTCTTCATATCTGTAGGAATCTGTAAAGTAATTGTTGTCTATTGCTAATTTCTTGTATATCTTTGCTTACCTTGTGGTCATAAACATATGCCAGTGCAGATATAATTGTTGTTGATTGAAATTGTGGACGCAAATAGGAAAGACAGTTCATATGATCCATAAATATTTCTATGTTCGTGTTACTGGCATTAAGGAGAATCTATTAGACTTCTATTACTGCTTGTAAAATTGATATTAGGAAGTTGACATTAGCTAAAGAAGACGCTATCATTTTTTATGAAAACTACAATAAGAATATCATATTGTAGGGGTACTCTATTTTTGAATGTTAAGAAATATTTCTACATAAATTTGTTGGCTGAATTAACTACTCTTGTTGTTTCAACGCATCTATTACAATAGCCGCGACAAAGTATCTCTACCATATTTTAGGGCATTTCTGATTTCTTTATAAAATTCGGGAAGTGCATTTAATAGTATGACAGCTAAATCCTCATCGTCGAATTTCTTATCATTATGAGCTAAACTTTTAACAATTATGCTGTAATCGCTTAAATTTCCTTCTATATCCTTCCTCGAGTCCATCTTAAAACTAAATAGCTTTTCCAAACAGATATATCTTGTTAGGCAAAGTCTTAGTCAAGAATTAAGCATCTAAGGCAATCCATAAAGTCCTAGTATCTTTAACACTATCAACTTGTCTCACAATGTTATCAGATAAGTGCAAAATTATAGAACTATATGCAATTTCATTCATATCTTCAATTTCACATGGTTTAGCTTTTAATTTATCATAAAAAGTAGAAGGATCATCGAGAGCTTTAGCAACTCTCTGTTGGACCAAAATGGTCCTCATTTTCTGTTTCCAAATTGAGTAGTCCCCCTTTCCATCGAATTGCAATAATTAGACCCTCGAACCCATTCCGGATTCTATAAAAGAGTAGTCTGTACTCATGGACACAAAAGAAAAGGTTTTTTAAAAAAAAATTCCAGATGATCAACACACAATATGAATGCAGAGTTAAAACTAATATCCAGAAATGAAGCACAACAATGAATCAATTCGATCACTAAACTTCAGTGCGATGTGTGCAGGTGTAATCCAAAACTCAGGCAGTGAACATGTATACAATGCAAGTAACTATGCTTTTCAAGTTACAACTCATTCATAGGAATCTAGTCAACGGAATTCAAATGCAAGTAACCCTGCAAACATGCATAAAACCAAGGTAGATTACCAAACCTAACTCGAAGATTAGTTTGGAACGATCTTACCAACTAACTATTGAAAAAACAGTAATTGTACCACCAGTTCCTCACTCAAGTGAGCCGGCCAAAGCGTCCAGGATCACCCAATCTAGCCACCAACATACACATAGAAAATAACCACAAATCAGTATCGAATTAGAGGACTAAAATGCTAAACATAGATACCACTCAACCCAAAACAACAAAGGATAAATAAGCCCTAGACCTAAACTAAGCTCTAATACCAGATGTTAGGAAATATACAGCATAATGCAGACACCAAACTGAGGCTAACCAAGTTCAATGTCCAATAACCGAATTCAATGGTTCAATCCCAACAATGACAGAGTTCAATATTAATCAAAATCAAATTCTTCCCCATCCACATAATATATATATATAGCATAACATTCCATTACTTGCATAGCATATAATCAGTAGCTTATGGTAATCAACAGATATGGGAAAAATATGGATACTTGAAACTAAACATAAATAAAAACAGAATCAAAAGGGGGAAGAACTCTACTTCCCTTTTACCGTCCAAATACCATGTTCTTCTACCTTTCTTGTTGGACAAATGCTTAGGCTCGGGAACAACCTCCCACGCTTGCAAATCGCCCTCCAGAGAGAGCACAAGAACTGGAAAAGAATGCTTCCTCTCTTGGCTAGGATCATCGACCGAAAGGTCTACCCAAAAATGGCCAAAGTTCACTCCTAACTCACTAACCTAAGCCTTCGAGAATAAACCAATAACTCAACTCTATTTCAGGTCCGAGAAACACACAGGCATTCCCTTTCCAATAGGTTCAAGGATCAATGAGTATCCAAGGAAGAAGAAGAACACACAGCCTCACAAGAGGCAGAGAGCAGACAGAGAAAAACGAGAAGAAGAGAAGAGTCTCAAGGAAGGAAGATCATGTGAATATAAGCCCAAAAGTCAAGCCAAGAAAATATCTCATCCAAGATTTAATTTCAGCCCTTAAACTCAATCCAATGGTCACAATTAAATCAAACTAACACAATTTGAGTGAAACCAAAGCAACCAATAGGTGAGTGACACCTAGGCAACTAATGGTCCAAAAATAATAAGTCATACCAAATGACACAAATAGCACCAGCCAAATAGTGTTAGGAGGATCACAATCCTCACAAACCCGAAATTGTTTATATTTTTCTTGACTCTTCTGTCATGGGGTTTTCAGTTTGTGAGTGCTATTCATAGGGAGCGGTTGGCAGCGGTTAGTTTTTCTTATTCATTCACCCTTCTTTTTTTTATTAAGCGTAATGAGCAGGGAGTGCTGCAGTCATTAGATTGGTGGAAGAATTGATGTTAGGATGTTAGTTTGAAAGTAAATAAAATTCCGATTGGATTTCTTTTTTGTTTTTCTTTTATGCCTTCATTTCTTTTTGTCCATGTCTCTCTCGGTAGATTAAGAAGTCGGTTTCAGCCACTGAGATGGCGGTGGCCAAGAACTCAGCTGGACTTCAAGGTGGAAATGCCAAAGCTCATCAAGCAAAGGGGCCTGCAAGTATCATTGGTTCCCCCACCGAATGCAAAATTTCGCGAAGCTGGATGAGTTACTGCTAAAAATGCTGATGTGCAGTTTTGATTAGACAAGTTATTGCCTTTTTCCCACTTTCCTGAAAATAGAGAATATGTATATGCGCGGAACCAACTGTATCTTCAACATACACAGACACTCTCCAAGAAAAACTAAACGCCTTGGAGCGTGCTCCTTTTTCTCTGAGTCTCCTTTATACTATAAACAAAAATAAATTGATATTTTCTTTTTCTTCTTATCTGAACTCTTAACTTCTATTACAGCAAATCAGCACAAACGTGTAAAAAAGATGGGAATACAATTAACCCAGTGCCTAGGAAGCATCGACACAGGCACTAGTGTTAGACATGATACTATACAGATGTTGAAACCTCATCAAAATAATTTTACTTGTACTTTTTCTCATTTCTCATTTTTGTTTTTCTTAATTCTAGCGCGTCAATGATATATTTTCAGCTTGTCACTGGTGTCATGAACTAAAAATTTATTTGGACATGTCACTTGGGTTTTCAACACGTATCTTACTGTATAAATTCAAAAATTCAATTTTGGATGAGCCGCCTAACATTTTCGATACATATCGATGTGTCACATATCGCAACTTGGCATGATGTTAATATTCATGACAATCATTTAGGTAACAAGGGGGTTTGACATGAAAATTATGATTTATTTACCAAATGCGTCCATTGGTGTCAATTTTCTTGTTGAGCCTATTATAAATGGGGCATGTTTGGTGAACGGTCAGCGACCCTCTTTCGATCCACATAAAGGCAGCCTGCCCACTATCCTCATGCACTAAATGTGCAATCTTTAGGGCCGTAGGGACAACTAAGGGCCTACTTTTAGACACCTTTAGGGAGGTTAAAGTACTCATATAGGGTCGAGAACCCATTGAGAAGTGGTTGGACTTTGGCCTGCGTGGCCTTCGTTGCACACCCAAAGGAGGCCTGCAATAATCAATAGAGCATTGCTATCCTTTGAGGGCTAAGATGAGGATATAGTAATACCTCTAGATCGAATGAGCTATCGAGGAAAGCACTTTAAAGGCCTCATATGCTAATTTGCATCTTTGTGCTATGAGTTCTAGGCTTCCCGAGGGGAGCATTAGCTAGAAATGTGGTCATAACGCATACGACGATGCCGTTTTGTTGGGTCAATATGGCAATCTATCGATATGTGGGAATGAGTACACTATGCAGACACTTTTTATTAGTCATGTGTTAAATGATGATCTTACTTGGACTAGACACTGACGAAGAGTATGTGGGCAAGCATTAAACTTAAATGTCCATAGAAAGTAACAAGCACAATGATTGCGTAGTGGAGGCATGTGAATCACTATCAATACTTCAGAAGGAAATATGATTATTCAAAGCTCCCATGTAAATTATTTGCTGTCAAGAACTCTCCACCCACCAAAAAAGGAAAAAACTCCAACTTTATTTCAAAAAATTTAATTTAAGAATAAAGGGCATCTATGCATATCTGAACAAAATAAGTATAAACACGGAGACACATCCAGGTCCATTTTTGTGATTTCTGGGACCCTTTAAAGAATGCTTTTTCTTTGTGGATACAATGTTCAGAATTTCATATGTCAAGTAGGTCACAATTTCATATATTACATTACAAAGCATTTACACCTTAGCTCATCTATGCAAACCGGAAAAGAATCCCTAGCTCTAAAGTAACACTTTGCCCTTCGCAACTCATTTTACATCATAAGGACAAAATTTGCAGCACGGGATAGTTGAAAGCCAGAAGAGGGGATTAATTACATAAGGGGGATGGTAATTATGCATATTTCACTACACAACTAATGAAATGTTTGTGCTTGATACTTGTTCAGAGAAAATAAAAAGACAAGGTAAAATGGATTAAGGTTAAATTGGGGTTTGATTATTTAAGGAGTTACCAAGATACTATATTAGATCAAGGTTGAACAAATTGTGTCCTTGTAAATTTTTACAAGAGGAAAGCATGGAAAGTAAAATCCCTGCAAACACTAGAAAGCACGCTTTGCAAATCAAACAAATTGTTTACTTGTTTTCTTTCTGGCTTTCTCATCATCTGACATCCTCAACCGCTCAAGACTCCCTCTCAAGTCAATGAAATTGACACCCCCAGTCCTTGTCTCGCTCTCCTTCTCGTCAATCTCTCTCAGCTTCATCAGCCTCTCGTTCAGCTCCTGCAGTGAGAACCAGTTTCCCTTCTTCTTCTCGGGCCTCAACATCTTCAGCTTTTCCCCTAACTCTTTATAATTGTACATCTTGACAAATTCAGTCCTCGTTGCAGGGCCGGCTTTATCACCATCCCTTTTCTCCTTCCCAAATATCGAGGCATGCAAACTATCACTACCCCCAATCATCATTTTTGGACCCACAGGTTTCAACTTCAAGCTGTCCTTAAACCTCGAAAGTGACATATCAACCGCCTTCCCACCAGAATCAGTTTGTCTAATTGGGGAATTGGACCGGAGCTGACGGATGCTCTCACGAAATGCCTCAAAAGCTAGTTTCCCACCAGGTGCGGCAGCTCCCGCATGTTTCGCAGTCGAATCTGAAGAACCGGAACCAGATTCTTCAGTTTTTGGAAGGACATTTCTTTTATAGAGCTTTATGGGTTGACCGGAATGGGAAGAAGGCGAAGCAGCGCGGTGGCGAAACTCGGAGAGGTTTCTACGGATTTCTTCCAATGAAGCGATTTTAGGCGTTTGAGGAGTGGAATTTGAAAACGACAGCGTTTTGCGGGGGATTTGAGCGCGATTCTGATTTGAGGATTCTTTTAGTAGACTGGCTTTCACATCGCTGAAATATGAGGAGAATGGGGATTGAGATTGGGTTTCCGATTTGGATTCGGATTCCGTATCGGGTCGGGATGTGGCTTCATTGGAGTCGGGTTTGGAAGATGAGGAAAAGAAGCGGTAGGGATTCCGGCAAGGCTGGGAAAAGGAATGGAGTTTGGGGCGGCGGAGACGGATGAGTTTGGCGGTGGCCGCCATTGGCGGTGGCATATGAGGTTTAATGGAAACACTTGTTTTGCAGGTTAGGGTTTTAGAAGGAAAACTGAGTGGGAGTGGGAGTGGGAGTGGGAGTGGAAGCGTAGGTAACAATTGTAGTTACCACCGATTGCATCCAAAATCATTTTTAATTTGTGAAAAAAATAATAATAATAAAGTTATTATGTGAAATTGTTAAATTGCTTAGGAAAATAATAATTACCTTACCCTCATAAATAAAAATAAATAATTTCTTTTAATAATTGTTAAATTGCTTTAAACATAATTTTGGATAGAATAATGGGTTAATTTCAGCTATGGTCACTGAAGTTTCAAAAAATTTTAAAATGTTATCAGAGTAATTTTCTTATGATAGTAGTTATTCAAATTTCTTATGTTTAAGACCAAGTTTTTAAAAAATTATTGTTTATCAAACTTATTTGTAATCAAATCTAATACTATATTAAAGAAGGATAGTTCCGCAATAGCGTTCCCGCCCAAGAACCCGCCCAAGAATCCCGCCTAAATCATTATTATTATTATTATTATTATTATTATTACATAAGTGGTCCCCTGCAAAAAAATCCTACTCAAGAATCTCGCCTAAACCATTCTTCGAATTTATTCTCATTTTCAAAACCTCTCATTTTTTCTCTCCGTCTGTGTGTAGAGCTTTTTTTGTGTTATTTTTTACAAAATTTTGTCTTAGTTTGCAAGATCTGTACTTTTTGCCCAAATTTGTAGTTGTGATTTGGCTTTTGTTTGCAATTTTTTAATCTCCGACCAGAATTACAGTTGTTCGGGCAAGGAATGGAGGCTTACTTAATTCATGGTTTATTAGAAGTGCGATTCACTATGTTAATCATGAAAATGGGCATCAATCGATTCGCGTAATTCACCGATTCCATATGGGTTGCACTAAACTACGAAGTCATATGAATTATTTAACTAGTACAAACTTCTCCGGCCCCGAAAGAGCAATTTTATTTACCGGATCCTCCGCGTACGGAGGCTGGTGTGCTCCGCGTGCGGAGGAATGGTTCATCCGCACGCTGGCGTGCCTCCGCGTGCGGAAGAGCTGTTTTATATTTTTTCCTCCGCAAGCTGGCGTGCCTCCGGTGGTGCTTCTATAGTACGTACTGAGCCGACAGATGTCATCGACCCCAGCAGAGGAAGATTCCGTCAGCGGTGAGTACTCGAGATCGAAGGGTAGATCTGCGAAGAAGAGGCTGGCTCGGCGTCCAGCACAGGCACCTGCAACATAGCTCGAGACGATCTCTATGCTTTTTGAGACTCTAAGGTTCACGTATTCGAATTTGATCTTGTGTATT